GGGGAAGTCTCGTGGACTGCGTAAACATGAATATTGTATAAAAGCCAAACGGCTGCACTACAACGAGATTCATCCACCCTCATCTGGTGAGATTGATCAATGAATCTCTTCTTTATGCACTTTAATCCGAAATGAAGGTCCCCCTCACAATGAAATGCATAGTGTATTAGAATGGTTGACCTCGTTTTCGCAGCTTTGTCTTGTTGGCAGGGAGACTTAGTAGAACGTGCTTTGACCGCAGTACTCTGCCAAAGTAGATATCATAATTACCAGCATAAGAACGTTGACTTGGTAGATTCGCAGACGTTTCGCCGGCATCTTTATCGGCATCATCAGTGAGTCCTGCCATTCTCCCCACCAAGCTATAAAGAGAAAAGTGAAATAAATCCCTTGATCACCGTTCTGCAGAAAACGGTTACAATATCACTCCTTCTTTTGTACCGGTTCATCTATCTATTAATTACCTTCTATCCAATTCCCGCCTTATCACAACTTCTGACTTGCTTACTTTCCCCTCGTAAAAAGATTTTCCCTTGTTGGCTAATTTAGTGTGGCCTCCTCGCACCTGCTATCCCCCTTGGCCCCCTCTTTTTCACTCGGATTATCCGACCCGGGCCTCCCATCCTTATCTCACTCATGGTCCAGCATAACCGCTTCTTATCTTTCTGGTTGACAGATTTCATTCGTAAGAAGATTTTCTAAAATTCATAAGCCGGCTTGATGAAAAATCAAGCTCACAATGAAAGTAGAAGGTGAGTGGTTACCGTTTCTGGATATCGAAGTGATTTTTTCAAATGGGACACTCAAGAATATATCGTTCAGAAAGAAGTCTTGCGTCGGAATAATACCCTTTTTGCAGTCACATCAAAACTACAGCATAAAGATAGGAAGCCAACGTTTAATGAATGTGAAATTTTGGGATGAAGAATTGGGCAAAATGACTAGGATATCGCTTGACAACGGCTGCCAAATCGAAGTAATATAAAAAAATATACAGACCGTGAATGGCGGATTAAAAAACATGGACTAAGAAAGACTAGTGAGGACAGAAAAAGGTTCACAAAGTGGGAATGCCTATTTTCCTTAGAACGAACTCAAAAACTAAGGCTAATATTAAGGAAATGGAAAATTCGAGTGCATATGGAAGAAAAAACAATGCTTTTCACAAACTCTGAGAAAGAAAGAATACAGCAAGACCAGCAAAAAGGGGACCCCTAGAACAATGATCTATCGCTAACCGGAGAAAAAAATCTCGTCCAATTAAGACGTTATCAGTGATTTATGTCAGTTTGAAGTAAACCAGTACGATTTTGGGAAGCTGGCAGTCAGGGAACTTGGTAGAAGGATAAGCACAAACGTCACATAAATTTGGCATTGTGACCCAAATGTACTAGAAATATACTATAGATGCCGCATGCGACCAGAGATAGGCATACACCGTTTTCTTAGGTAACACGAGCTTAATCAAGGAGACGAACCGTGAAGTGAATGTCTGATATCTGCAGCCTTGAGAAATAGCGCCTGAAATAAACTGCACATTGGGCCTGAAAGCGAGTGAAATCGGTCAACCAGAAAGATAAGAAATGGATCTACGGGGCTATTTGGGAGATCGAAAGCCCAAGTGTAATTAGGTTATCTAACGAGTGAGGTCCAAGATGATTGCAGATGTGATAGGGGCACACTAAATTTTCCACAAACGGGCACACATTTTGACGCGTGACATGTAAACAAGTTAGCGGTTGTTATAGAACGTTGGATAATAGGTTAAGGAGTAGATAGATAGACCAGGACAGAACGAATAGTGATAGTGTAACCATTTTCGGCAGAACGTTTGTCGAGGGATTGACTTCACTTGTCTCTTTGACGAGTCTGTAGCTTGGTGGAGAGAATGATAAGAGTCCCGGATGATGCCAGAGAAAGGTCTGCGAATGTGCCAAGGCCATGTCCTCATGCTGGTATTTATGATTTTTACTATGGTTAGGGTCTAGGTTCAAGGCGCATTCTACTGTCCCCCTGCCAACAAGATGAAGCTGCGAAAGCGAGGTCAACCAACTCATATAAATCGAAAGGAGCCTGCGACCATACTGGGGGCCAATTCATCTTGGCATTTATATCTTCGATTAAACTAGGATAGCGATTATACCAGAAAAGCCACTGAATACAGCCAGACGTGGAAGACAATTTCATGTCAATCTTGTCATCTGACTTTTTTTAATGTTACACTACTAAGTTCTATGACATTAAGATACCCTAACATTCGGATAAGGTAAACAAGGTTCTCCATATGACTTTATTCAGAAATTAAATAAAACTTATGATACGGAGAGCAATAAACTATCGACGCCTACAGATATTAAGTCAAAGCTCAGGCGTGATCTGGCCAGGATCCTTACTACGGAGTAATTTCAAAAGCTCCATAGCCTAAGCGACAGAAAATTATGCAAGATCTACAACTTAATTGCATAAGGCGGATTATGAGACCGCCTGAGTTTAAGCCAGTACGCAGTTGACTTGGTTTCCGAGGTTACAACTGAATCAGAGATGCATTCCTCATAGTTTACATAAATATCCCCATGTCAATAAGATTATATTACATTTTACGCGGCCTAGAATCATAGGTATCATCATTCGGACTAGACTGCAGTTCCGACATCGACCAAATATCATCAGCAACCCAAAAATGTATTTTAATCCGAGCACTGCGTAGTATAATCTTGACAAGTGTAACCCTACGTCACATTGCCACGAGCCCATTTACGTTGCGGGCAAATG